ATTATTTACTTGCTTGCTGATCTGTGGGGACGAGTTTCTGTGAGCACTTACTCTGGCTTTAAATATTTATCTCCTGATTGTTGATGGTTTTTCAAAGAAAAGTTGGGTCATGCTTTTGAAAAATAAATTTGATACTTTTTAAAATTTTGTTACCTGAAAAACTCTTGTTGAAAATCAAGTCAACAAGTATGTTAAAGCCCTTAGAATTGACAATGACCTTGAATTTTACAATGAAGACTTTTATAAATTCTGTAAAGATGATGGAATTTTCAGACATAGGACTATTACCTGTACTCCACAATAGAATAGGCTAGCAGAAAGAATGAATAGGACTCTCTTAGAAAGGGTTAGGCGCATGTTAATAAGCTCAAGTCTTCCATAATTTTTTGGGGAGAAGCTGTTAAAACTGCCTCATACTTAATAAATAAATCTCTTACTAAATCCATGAATTATGATATACCTGATCATGTCTGGAATGGTCATTCTATTGATTATCCAAAACTTAAATATTTTGGTTGTGCTGTTTATGTACACTAAAATGAAGGAAAACTTGAGCCAAGTGTTGTAAAAGGTCTTTTCTTAGGATATGACAAGTGTGTCAAAGGCTACAAAATTTGTCTGAAGGATCAGGAAGGATATAGAGTTATAATATGCAGAAATGTTATTTTTAATGAGTTAGACATGCCTTGCATTAAAGAGAAAGAGGATGCTATCATTGAAAATGAACAAAATAAACACTTTATGCAAACTGGACTCTTTTCAGCTGATTTAAACCCTGAAAACCCCTGAATTATGACACACTTGATCATGTTTGGAATGGTCATTATATTGATTATTCTAAACTTAATTTTTTTTTTTTTTGTTGTTGTTGTTGTTGTGCTGCTTATGTACACTAAAATTAAGGAAAACTTGAGCCAATGTCTGGAAAATGTATTTTCTTAGGATATGGTGAATGTGTCAAAGGCTATAGAATTTGGCTGAAGGATCAAGGAGGATATAGAGTTATAATAAGAAGAAATGTTATTTTTAATGAGTTAGACATGCCCTTCATTAAAGAGAAAGTAGATGCTGTCACTGAAAATGAACAAAATAAACACTTTATGGAAATCGAACTCTTTTCAGTTGATTTAAATCCTGAAAACGAGGATCAGATTGAGGTGGAGCCTGGATTAGAACAAGGTATTGATGAAACTGAACTTGTACAGCTTACTAATTTTTTAGAAGACTATCACCTGGCTAAGGATAGAACAAGAAGGGAAGTAAGTAAGGCCACCCTTGAGATATAGTTAACCTGATTTTCTTACTGCACTTAGTGTCCAAAAGGTGAGCCAACATCCTATGAAGAGGCTATTGAAGGAAAAAAAAATGCAAATTCTTGACTTGCAGCCATGGAAGATAAAATGCAATCCCTAATTAAAAATAAAACTTAGGTCTTGGTCAATAAACCAAAAGGTGAAAATATTATTGATTGTAAATAGATTTATAAAATAAAAGAAGGTGATTCCAAAATTGGAAATGTAAGGTTTAAGGCTAGATTAGTTGTTAAAAGTTAACCAAAGGGGAGGAATTGACTACAATGAAATTTTCTCTCATGTAGTCAAGTCTACCTCTATAAGAGTCTTGTTTTCCCTTGTTTCACAAATTATTTTGAATTGGAACAATTTGATGTGAAAATTGCTTTCTTACATGGAAACTTAGATGAAAAAATTTATTTGGTTCAACCAAAAGGCTCTGAACAAAATGGAAAAGAAAACTATGTATATCTTTTGCAAAAATCATTTTATGGTTTGAAACAAGTGCCTAGAAAATGATATATCAGATTTGATACTTTCATAAAAGGGCTTGATTTTAATATAAGAGAATATGATCGATGCTTTTACTATAAAGGAAGTGAAGGTCATAATTTATTATCATCTATTGCTCCATGTGGATAATATGTTACTTGCTAGGTGTAATGTAACTGAAATAAATAATATTAAGCAAAGGTTAAAATAAGAATTTGAAATGAAGGATCTAGGTATTGCCAAAAGAATTCTAGGAATGGAAATTACGAGGTATAGATCTAATCACACCTTGTTTCTTACTCAACAATCATACATTTCAAAAATATTGAGTAAATTCTCTATGCATGAGGCAAAAGAAGTCACATTACCTCTTGGCAGCCACTTTAAATTCTCTATGGAACAATGCCCTAAAATTGAAATAGAAAGAAGTAGAATGGATAAAGTCCTTTATGCAAATGCAATTAGCTTAGTTATGTATGTTATGGTTTGTATTATACCGATCTTGCTTTTGCCGTAAGTGTCTCGAGTAGATACATGAGTAACCCAAGTGAATATTCATTGGGAAGCAATTAAATGGTTGTTAAGATACTTAAAGGGAACTTCAAAATTTGGACTGACGTTCAATAAGAATAAAATTGGAATTCAACTTAAAGGTTTTGTTGATTCAGATTTTGCTAGTAATTATGATAACAGTCTACATATATTTTTACCTTAAATGATACCTGCATAAGTTGAAAATCTCAATTGCAATAAAAATAGTTGCTCTATCTTCAACAGGGGCACGACCCGTCCCAAATCACCCTAATGGACAGGACACATGTCGTGCGCCGATGAGGGATACCAGCTAAATGCCGGACCCACCACCAAGGCAACTATAATTTGCTTTGACTGTGACATAATTTTATAAAAATTTGACAAAGTTTTCTCTAAAATATGGACTAAAATTACCTGAAAATTTATCAACTTTCTCAAAACAATACATATAATTTAAAATAGGGTACATCAGTGCTTTCAGACACAACTATTCAAATTAAAGTGCATTGGAATGAAATTTACACTTCTTTACAAACCAGAGGACTCCAAATGCATTACTTATACAAAATTATGTAGTGAACCCATGATATAAACTAACAAAAGACGCATCTACCCCAAAAATATGAACTGTAAAAACTGACAAAAAGAGACGTACAAATAACAATTGAGTAGCCAAATGTTGTGAAGGAAGGTGTTTGTTTGAAAATTTTATTGGATGAAATTGGCTTTACTCGTAACAATGCTATTTTATTTTCTGATAGCCAATCTGCTACACATCTGAGTAGAAATTCTGTTTTTTATGATAGGACTAAACATATAGATGTTAAATTCCACTTTAAAAGAGGTATTATAGAAAAGTAAATCATAAATATTTTAAATGTTTCAACAAAATGTAATCCCACAGACACGGGAACAAAAATACTTCATTTACATAAATTTAGGGATTGTCTAAATCTCCTAAATGTTATTACTGATTAAAGTCTTTTGTAGGTACATAAAGCGTATGAAATCATAAGGATGAGTTAACCTCTAATTCACATGAAACCCAAGATATAAAGTAAGGTGGAGATTATTAAATATGTGCTTAACATCTTATAAAGGCCCAATGATGCAGAGCAAAATAACTTGTATACTTGGCCCTTTATGGTGGAATGTGACCCGTTTGGCCTTTCAGCGTCCATTCTCGCATTTACTTAACGACGATTTTAGTTGATTGGAGTTAAATGGCTAAGATGAAAACACTAGGTGATGGCTCAACCGTTGGATGCATTATGAACTTTTAAATTCCCAATCTTTCATTCATTTGCAGGAGTTTGAGATAATTCTAAGGTTTATTCTCTTTTCGTCTTTGTAATTCTCTCTGAAAACTCTTAGTTTTCGCCAATAATCTTTTAAGTTTTCAATATTCTTGCTGATGTCTAGTGTAGATTACAGCATGGTTGTGGTTTTCTTGATCTTTGGCGAGCAGTAACCCTTGGTTACTTTATGCCATCTATAACGAGAGAAAAGTGAGAGTTTGAGGCTGAGGGCTTCGAGTCATGGGATTTTTGAGTCTCTGATACTTGTATATTGACATATTTTGTTGGATTCTAGTGAATTAAAGCGATAACCACTTAGGTGGATACTTAACATTGTGATTAGCCGTTTGTGGGTGAACATCCGGGCCAAAGGGTGAAAAATTCCTACGTTCTTTTGTTCTGATTTGATTGGTTTTTAATCTGAGACTAGATATGCCAACAGAAATTAAAGTTCAAAGTGTACCCATTGGAAGAGTTTTGTGTGTAGGAGGAAAACTCATAAGAAAAATGATAAGGCAACAACTAGTTTATACATGATCATAGTTTATACATGATCACATTTGACGTAGGAGTAATCATTTGTAGCATAGAAACTCTATTTACATACACGCTCAAAAGTAAAAAAGCCACGGATTGGACTGACACCATGTGTCATTGAATTCGTGTTCGAGTGTGACATGCAGACACGAATGTCAAACCGAAATTGATCCTTTAATTTGGTTCACATTTTTCTTGAACTCCTGAAACTCTCATGTTAATGAGGAAGATTAAACAAGGACTCTTATCTCTTTGATCAAAATTTTATTTTCCAGTCTTCCCAGAATTTTTTGTTTCTTATCTAAGTTCTGGTGATCACGTTTAGATACAAATTCAGTTCATTGGTGTAGAAACTTGGTGCTCAATTCTAAAGATTTCTCTGGTGCATCCTACGAGACAAACACTCGAAAAAATCTCAAGCACATAGTGTCTGTCTCCTCCTGAGTTTTTATTCTAACAAACTTTTCCCTCTTTGGGTTAAATTACATACACATAAATAGACTATCTTGAAGAAACACAATAAAACAAACTAGCAAAATTCGAAGTCTAAGTTGCATATAGTTCATAGCAAATACAATATTGTAATCTACCATTAGAATTAGAAGGAATATAGAAATTTTCCAAATCGCCACTACCAATAATGATGCTTTTTCCCTCCCCTTCCGAGTTATGAAAAGAATCTGTAAAACATTCTAGGATACAAAGAATAGCCATAAAAGCTATGACGGATGATCACCACCGAAAGGCTTAGGCTTGAGTAAGTCGAGGCGTAAACCTTGACAAATGATTCTTGAGTCATAAGCTTCAAGGTGCTTAATGAATGCATTTTATGAAGCACACCTTGGACTTTGAGCAGCAATAATTTATTGATGAACTTAGACATTCAAAAACTGATCCAAGAAACAGAAATGAACATGTATATTCAAGAAAACAGATCACAAAAAACCGAAAACTAGAACCTGTCAAACATAAATTAATCTACCAGTCGAGAATTTTTAGCACAAAACCTCTAAAACTGAAATGACGGAGCCAAGGATGAATTGCCTCACTGCTGGGAGCCTTGCACGTTATGACTTCTCACCGGACAATGGAAGCATAATGCCTATTTCCATGGTACACGAGGCCACTACTACCTTGCATGGGAACGACCACATTGGACTGGACACTCGAAAACATGCTGTTCGACTGTGAGAAAACGACATCACCATTGCCGACCCTTGTAGCTTCAATTGGAGTTTCGTTCGTATCAGCTTCAACATGAAGTGAGTCCACCATCCCCAGGGAGCTGGACGAATGAGTTGAATTGGGCTGTTGAGGCTTCTTTGAGCTAAGAAAGCGTCCACCAGAACCTCTAACTCGGTTTAGTGCATGAAGATGTCGAGACTCGTGCAGATATGGCTGCATAAACGACTAAAAGAATGAGAAGTTCAACATTCAAATTCACACGAGACAAAATCATGACAAGATAGCCACTGCTTACTTTCCTATTTTTAATGAGTTTGTTTTGAGCTTCGAGCTTTGCACGTGTCTGTCTCCTTCTAAGTATTCCATGATACTGCTTAGCATTGACATATATGGGACCATCCTCTGAAATATCAACGGGAAGTGGCACCCGAATTGAGGCAGAACCCATAACTTGGGGCTGAAACTGATCAAGAATTTTGAAAAATAAAAGCATTATAAATTTATAAGCAGAACATTAATTGGACTCAAAACCAGATTTCCTGCTTTAATGTAATGTTTGGAAAGAGCATAAGGTAAAAATGAAACAAGGCCAAAAGGTCAACAAACTTTAGTTCAAAAACAAAACAATTAGTTGCTCGATGCCGTGCCATTCAATGAGGATTTCCAATAAAAAATATGAAACGGCAAATAATAACAATAAAAATTTCAACACATTTATGATAATGCATTTACCATAGCATGAGGTCCATAGGAAGTATATAACCTGCTGAGGTAGGGATCAGAGTAAGCATATGGAACCTGCATCAGAGAAAGTTACCTTCGCTCGTGATTGTTAACAGGCATTTTTTTTTTAAAGATAAAAAAGGATAATGTGGAAGCAGCAACTTGCCATCGGTTGGCTAATTTCGGCTTGTGAAGGACTGATGAAAGAATCTGGATTGCCCAGAAGTAAAGTCGGTATCACTTCTTGTACACATTTTCCACAGCTTTGATCAAGTACTAAACCGATTGAAACGAAAGCAGTAAGTTGTAAAAGAAACAAACTTTTTACTGGTCAAAGTTTAAAATGTACAAGTCACTTATTTCAACAATAATGTAAGAGTAACTTTCTTTAGTTAAAAATAAGAAAAAGAAATAACAACGGAACATTTTTGGAAACTAAAGTAACTTTTACCTTTTCTCAAGCTCAGCCAAACATGTCATTAGGTAGCAGCAGTGAAAAATAGTGAAGATTGTTTGTAACTAATAAATGAAATATAAAACAAGAAAATTTAAAGGCAAGTCAATACCATCAGAGTCTGCCGAAGCACATTGATCTTGAGAACTTGTCTTTCCCATGGCAGTCACTTCGTGATAAGAGCCTGTTGATTGAGTCGAGGACGAGTGTTGGTCTTGGAGTTGAAAACTTAAATGTTGAGAAGGATATTCTACTTTGGAATTGAGATTTTTGGGTGATGACTCAGAGAACTTTTTGTGCAAATTCTGCCAAGAAGAGCAATTTATAATGCAATTGCATTATATTGCAAGTGCTAAACAGAAAGAAAATTGTTCAACAATTGGCTTGGGTAAGTTCTGTGCATACAGCCATACTAAGTGAAGTAGCCAAATCCTGAGGCATAACTCATAAGCTCTGAACGCAACGAGGAATGCTTTTGGATTCACATTGGGAATTAACTGCTTGAGAAAAAGATAACATGAACACATTTGGTTATAGACTACTGCAAATTATAATAAAATCATTGGCTACGGCATTTTCGTGCTTCAATATCCAACCCAGCATTTATCAGTTGAAATTTGATGTTTTTGAGCACCTCACAACTTGTACAAACTAGAAGTCCTATATATGTGTGTGTGTGTGTGTATCATCTATGAAATGAACCATCAATCTACTCGAGCAATCCAAAATCAATGTCTAAACAATGAACTATTATATTTCAAGTATCTGGAAGTCACAGAAGCAAAAAATCGAACAAATCAACATAAAAATCGGAAACATCAAAACGAGCAGAAACCACTCCAACCACTCAAATTTTAACTAGTGGATTATTTAACACTACACAATTGATTCAAAGTAGAAGCTGGTGAATTTTCTGTATATAATGTGAGCTTACAATTGATGAAGTAATCACCTAACAGGAACTGACTACCTACTCAAATCGATTATCTTTGGCTTAGAATGGGGTTAAATTCAGAAAGTCTTATAGAGAAAAAGAAATCTTGACAACCAAACAAAAGAGTACCAAAAAGTTCATGGAGACCAAAAATTACTATGCATCTTGCTCGATACAAAAAATTCTACATAAGAAAACTAAAGAGTTAGCTTTAACACCCCTAGTAAACAACAAATGTAAAAGATAATTACGTTTGATCAGGCCATTCATGAGATTTTGAGTCCCTTTTACAAAATCGAAAACAAAATTCCCATCTTTCACTCAATTACGAAACACAATCAGTAATGAAACAAGCTTATTCCCAATAGAGAAATAAATAAATAAATAAACTCAATACAAAGAATTCCTTTTTTCCCTCATTGAGAATGTAAGAGAGGAACTTTTTCAGGATTCAAAGCAAAAGAATGAAAATAAGCAGAAAATCACAACTTAAAAAGCACAGTCCAATCTATATGCAAGTTTACTCTCCTATTACTAAGGCAATAGTACTCTCAAAGTTCAAAAGGCTTATTTACCAAGGCATTTTGCCTCTGCGAGGCTAGGCATAAGCCTCTAGATAGACTAATAAATAATTCAGTACAGAAATATGCTCATAATTAATCATACACCATTTTAAAAATTTCCAAAATCAAATAAATTAACAAAATTAAAAGTTTAGCTCATGACAAACTTAAAAAAAACCAAATAAAAAAAAGAAAAATAGTCAGTAATACAGTGTATGCAAAAATGCAAGACAACCTCGCAAATGGAACTTAAGGGGCAGGATTCGAGGCATTTCATCTAATAGTTATTTTAAACATTGAGAACTCCATCTTAGAACTCCACATGCTTTCAAGAATCATCAACTCATGCTAAACACATCACTAAAATTAAATTACTTGGATTAAGTATGAGAATCAAACCCATAATCCCCTATCCTCAGATTAAGTTTACTATAGTGAAAAAAAAGACTAAAATCAAATTTATATTTGAAAAGTCAAGAACTTTACTGAAAAGTTCTTCCCTAATATACAGAATTACTAGTAGCATAACATATGAACCTCAAAACCCACATGCATTCAAGAATCCAAAGCCAAATACATATAATCAACAAATCCCACAAACTAAAAATATGGATACAACAGTGCGATGAGTATACAAACATAGACCTATAGCATATATAAATTCTTTTATATGTACATATATATCTGTGTTTGTGTATATGTATGGTAAAGGAAATGAGAGAGAGAGAGACCTTTGGGATCTGCTGCCAAGAAATGGAAAAACAAAGAATCCAACTGTAGGGATGAAACTGGGCATGTCCCCTACCTTGACACTCCCCTTAAAACTATTCAATTCAATACTTCTCTCTCTAGAAAGATTCTCTCTTTAAAGTCTTGGCTGCTTCTAAAATTTCAAAACTAAAGCACAAGTGATAATAAAGACACACTACCACCACCCACCAGCAACATTAATTGCATCATCGTATGTACGTACGATACGTGTAAGTATATATTTTGTTCTATAGCACTTCAAAATCTCCTCTCTATCCAAGTGGGACCCACAAGAAGCTCATCCAACGCTGGGTAGGGTGCAAGAGGAGTGAACATTTTGATAGAAGGCCAACTTACTTGAACTAGAATTGAATCTATATAACACTTACTTGAAAACAGTTTTGCGACACAAATAGGTTCGATGAGAGGAATTAAACCAAATACACACTTATCACAGTTCATTAATAGTCCAAAAAAAAAAAAAAGACGGAGCTTGACGTACATGTAGGGGTTCTTCCGACCACTCATATCATTGGAGAGGGTGGGTGGATTTTTGGCCAATTTTTTATACCAGTGGATCCCCCTGCTAAGAGGGTCCCATGGTACAACAGCAAAACTTTTAAAAAAAGTCAAAAATTGCCAATGAGGACTGTCATTTCAGCCTTTGAAAACGCAGCAAACTATTCAAACAGCATTATTCACTCGAACATACTCGACTGGAACCAAAATAGGACCAAACCGGCATATTTTGTTCAGTAGCACTTGACTTTTCCTTTACAAGTGAGACTCACAAGCTCCACCCCACAAGCAACGTGGGGCCTGATGGGGATGGAGGAGAATTTGGCATTTTTTGCCAGTGTATGTGTGCAGATCGTTATGCTTAGCCGCCGTTTCACTGTGTAGTGTACTGACTCTCCACGCGCTTTCACGTCAAGCGTGATGATGTAGCCACGTTGTGGATGCACTTGTTTTTGGGAGTTGATGGTCACTCGCAGGATTGAAAGTGGTTTATTTAGACAATAGTCTGAGGTTTTAATTGTGTTTTGACTAAAATACGAGGTTACTATCAACATAAATTTCTCATTTGGTCACATTTTCTTTTTGTTAATACAAAATTATAATCCTAGTACCACCGATAGGCTCTATTTTTTTTCTTGCATAGAGTAAAAAAATATCATTACTATAGTTGAAAATATAATTTTTTTACTTTTTAAATATATCCTACATTAAATAATAACTTAAATAAGATTCGATTATATTTGTTGATGACAAAATACATTCAATAAAGACATATTAAAAAAGTAAAACATATCTAGCCCTTGTTTGAACCTCATTTTTAAAAAAAAAAAAACACTTTTCAACAATATTTTGATATCATTTTAACCATAAATTTTTCAATAAAATAATATTACACGTAAATTCAAAATTTTTCCTTATTTTTTAATCACACATTTCTCATTAATACACTATTCAAAAATTCATTATTCTCAAAAAATGGGACTCAATCAAGGCCTATACTTTCAATCAAGAAAATGAACTATAATTTGGATAGACAAAAATGAAATAAAATCAAGCTTATCGTTATGAAACGAATGAAGTAAATATCTGTCCATTGTTATAAAAATTTACACACTTGAATTTTGATTCTTAGTTCTTTTATTGTTCTTTTTTCTCTCAGTTTTATATTCTCTTCTTTTCATAAGATATGCTTGTTGTTCTTTTTCATCTATCCTAGATTATAAGCCATTTTTTTGTTGAGAATATAAATAATTTTTTTATTTTCTAATAATTCCTGTTCAACGTGCCTTGTTATCAACATCTAAATTACTTTTATTTAAATGATTATTTAACATAGGTGTATATTAGAAAAAATATAAGAAAATTATACATTTTTTTAATAGGTGTGAAATAGGAACAAACAGGTATTTTTGGGACGAATGAATTAATATTTTGATTATTTACCATAGGAACCAGATTGGTGGGAAAGTTTTGCATGGAGGAAATTACACGATTCCAGGTAATACAAATTCACAGTCCAAATTTCACGTGTGAGAAGTTTTTTTTATGTAGAAATCAAGTATTGATCTAATACTTGAAAGGTCTAAAAGCAATGGCTCCGTCAACTAACAACCACACCCACCCAAACCCTAAAAATATCATGTAATTCAACATACCACTCAACCACCACCACCCTCTCTCACTCACTCTTACATGCACAACCCACCATCCTCTCTCATTCACTCTCACGCGAACAACGCACAACCCAACAATCCCAAGGAGTCTATAGGCCAACCGTCGTGCCCAACGGCGATGGTGTCACCCAGCTCTCATTCTCTCTAGAGTGACAATTGACTTTTCCAGGTGTCACTATGCACAATACGACGACGGAGTCAATGGAGCAATTGTTGCATACAACTGTGATGGTATCGTCATTGCGTAGTAATTTCTCTAGTCATTGGCGAAGCAGTGGCAAGCAATTCCTCTAGTCAATGGGCCGATCGTTGCAAAAATTAGGTTTTGTTGTTTATCTTTTTTTCTATGATTTTGTTGTGGCCGGAGTTACAGCGGTAGTGGTTTTCATGTTTTGGTGATGGGATGGTTTTTGTTGGCAATAGATCTTGCGGTGACATTGTCGATGATGGTGGTGTCATGGTGTTGTTTTAGAAGAGGCATCGACAACGACGAGGTAGGGGTCGTCTCAAGTAGCCATTGTGATAGTGGCAGCAGTGTTGATGGTGATAATATGTGACCAACTATTTGGTTAATCTATGATCAACTATTTGGTGTATGTGACCAACTATTTGGTTAATTTGTGATCAACTATTTGATTATTTGTGACCAACTATATAATTACAACCCAAAAATTCGATAATTTATAATTGAAAAAAAAAATTGTGACAAATTAATTTGAAAATCTGCGACCGACAAATAAATTGTGCCCTGTAAATTGTTTGATTTTTGATCGATGAAATTCATTGTGACCTATAAAAAATTTTGATTGTGAGCATGAAATAATCCGTGACCAATTAATTTGATAATATATGATGTTGTAATTTATAAGTACGCACCTGTGATAATTAATTGTATAATTGTGACTTTAATATATTTATTTAATAAAATATTTTAAATTAATTAGTTAATATTTGAGTTTTGCATTTTGAAATTTAAAACCTAAAATTGAATTGCCCCATACTTAAGACCTGATTTGTGAATTTTTTCCCTTTTACATATTCTCATACCTAATCTGTCTTGGAGCCTATTGAGTTTGGATTCTATTGGAGCAAATTAACCTCGGTACGACCCATTAATTAAAAATCGATTAATAGAATTTGACTTTTTAAAATTTCACTAAACATCAATTAAACTTATATTATACGATTAGAATAAAATCAGCCCGACAAAAGTCTAAATTTATGATTTCTCTTTCAATTTTTGACGATTTCAATGAGTTTGGTCGAATATAGGCTCTCTTTCACGTTCTCTTTGAGTTTTGGGCTCAATTCTTACAATCAGTTAAGAATTCCATCATTTCCACTGTGAAAAATTTCAACGAGTTGGTTGAATGTCGAACGGTATATATATATATATATATATATATATATATAATTTGAAGTTATATCATGATCAATCTTGATGGAATGAAGATGCTATCACTTTTTCGAATTTTCGTCACTTTTAAAATTTTTGTCAATTTCAACTTATAGGTTGTTTTGTTTCTAAAATGAATTTATGTTCTATATTTAGTTGATATTAGTGAAAAACAATAACAAAAGGGCAACATATAGAAGAAAAACAATAATGCATTAGATCCATTCAAATATTTTGTTTGGCGTTTTTCACTTTTTTGAGTATTTGTTTTTTTTTTTTTTTTTAATTTTAGTACTTTCAACTTATAGGGTGGTGTGTTCTTAAAATAAAATTATGTTCTATATTTAGTTAGTGAAAGTTTAACATAACCACAAAGAGATAACGTGTAGAATAAAATCAACCACCCATTGATCTATTCTAAACTTCTTATTAGTGTTTCTCACTTTTTTTGAGTGTTGGTAATTTATTTATTTATTTTTTTTGAATTTCTTCATTTATTTTTTTCGAATTCCTCTCACTTTATTGGAATGCTTTTATTCATAGAAATATATAGATCATTTAATCCTTTTTAAGCATGTATTTATTGTTAGTTCATGTCATTTAATTGTCTATCTTTTTTCTTTTTACAAGATTGAGTTTTAATATGGTAGGATAAAGTTCTTATCAAAGATTTTTGTTATACCTCACCAAACGTGGCTCCACGTCACCAAGGCCCCTTCATCCACATAGCAAAAAATGACCAAAGCACCTTGGTAAACTAGTCAACCCACTCAAAGTATTGGAACCACCTCAACATAGCTCCACATGCGATTGATGAGGTCGAGAGGAATTGTCCGAAGCTCGCGTCTCCCGTTGACATTGAGGCTTTGAGCCTCAGGGATCTGGAGCCCCGCCATCCAATGATGACCTGCACGAGGCAGATCTTAGATCTATGTACGAAATCTTTTTAAGAATGATTGATGGGACATTTGTAGTAAGTATAAATGTTAAGTCTTGTCAATAAAATGGTGATTCTGTGAGAACATTGAGTGCATAACACCTAGTAGGTCAAAATTGATGCCTACAATTAAATGCTCGAGTTAAGGAGATGATGTCACATGTGCTTCCATCCAGAGGCCACCATTTCATTTATAACACTATAAATACCCTCCAATGTAACATAAAGAAACTAATGCAACTCATAACAATTGAAGTTGCTCTTTGTCTTCTCTCTAACTGATGATACACTTGTTTAACTTGAATTTGGAATACTTTGATTTCTTAGAGTTGTTCGACGGTTGTTAATTACTGTACAGTCGTTCTCGAAATATATTGTCGGAGTCTGAACATATTTGTCCTATGTCAAAAGCTTCTCCCATGTTCAAACCCAGAGTATTGTCGACGAGCAACCCATCCGTACATGTTGAAATTTGCTTATGTGTACACGAGTGAGCCTGGTATCTGTTGTCGATGTCGTCCTTACAAAAAAACGAGGTCAACAATTTTATTAAGGAAAATCAAGTTATATGATTTGTGATCTTTTCATTTAAAAGTGACATAACATATTGTGCCACTTTTTAATTAAAATATTATACAAGATCAATTTCTAATAAAAGAATACGTCTTTGGCTAGGTTTTCAATTTGCTTATAAGAATTTTTTTCTGAGTGATAGTTTATTTTGTATTGTGTTAAATGTGAATTAATTTTTCATGATAGAGAAAGACACAGTTTACGTCACTTTTTAATTAAAAATTGAAATATTTCACTTTCAATATTGATAAAAAAAAAAGCTTCATTTGACTTTACACAACATTTTTTACTTATAAAATACCTTTTACATAATTTTTTTAAAAGAACATTGAATTTAAAGATATTTTTGTAAGTTGCCCATTAAGGCACATGGGCCTTTACATAGAGAAACATAGTCCGGTTTATAGGAGGGAAATTTGGAGTGGGCTCCTTTACCTAAGAGTCCAACATAAACGAAGGTCCAATTTTTCGACTATCTTATATTCACTCTTCAAACGTAATTAATTCTACGTTGACTTTTAGAGAAACTTTTCGTTTTCTACACTGATTTTGATGATTTTATTATTTACTTAGCAAAGAGAACTGTAAAATTATGTAGCATACTTGAAATTACATTCTATTCGAGAATACTTACTCTCAAATCAATCTCCATAATCTTCATTTTGAATATAATTGCTTTTCTTTCAATCCAAAGTCGTCGTTCCTCAAAAGGGAAGCAATTTCTTTGACACAACTCAAGGACCAAGTTTTGTGGGATTTCTATCCAAAATGATACGTCCATGCCCTTTTCTATTTTGATTCATCTTCCTGAACGAATTTTTCTTTACATATACTTGTTGTGACAATGACTTGGATGTTATATGAGGGAAGTTTATAGTTTGAATTCTTATTCATACTTTTCCGTCCACCTTACTCTTAAGTTGTGGTTCAAGTCTATCGGTATAGATGGCTCATGATCCATAATCTAACAAGAACAATTTCAGAGAGCTTGGACCCTTCTCATTGCCACCTCGATCTTACCCTTTTAAGGTAAGGTTGAATCTCTTGATCTTCATTGCTGTTCGCTTAGTCGAAAAGAGATGAATTCTTCTAAACCACATCACGCTTTGTGGACTGCATGATGTATCGAATGAATTTGATTCAATTACTTCTCAATAAAAGAAATCGAATCTAGACCCACTTGATCATGTTTTATGTGCAATCATATTGAATATCTATCTTAGCAATTATAATGTCAAGGCCTATCATAAATATCCACACAAGTATTTGTGAACAAGAAAGTAGAACAACATCTTGATGTATGATGGAGTTTTTGTGTTAATCATATAAATTGTTTAATTTTTTCTAGCAAATTACTTTATGTAAATTATAGAAATTGAAATTTTAATCATTTTGAGCATGTTTAATTTGTGTAAGTACACTGGCTAATACTTACTATATTTTAAGGGTCAAGAATTGAAAATAGGACTAATAGGGGATTTAGAAATTCAATATATTCGTCTCATATTGATAAAATCACTTTTACTTAGTTTTTTAGTTAGAATAACTATAAACAGCAAACCCAATCCCTTTAGTATTACGATACATCAAATTTCGTAAAAGATATTGAACTAGATATTAGACGTTATTTTTTGTGGGAATGATAAACTCAATACTCGCTGATTTTTTTTACTTGTCAAGATCTCGTACGCTTACGTGTTTTGTCCGAACAACTAGCTTGGCAATTGAATGATCTTAATGCTGAATAAAGTAGAAATATATATGTTCAATTTTAGGCTTATATATATTCTCTTTGTTTTTAAATTTTTTTTTTAACATAAAATTTGACCATGCACTGGATCAACGGTTGAACCATTGACTCGATGACCTAATGAAATGTTTGGATCAACGATCAGGTCTAGTATGATGACTATATATGAATGTAGCTTTTGCATAAAACATTTGTCGAGATTTCTTTGTTATTGTCATCACGTAAACTGTAGATTCAAAATTATAATTTAGATTATTGCTATTTACAGTTAGTTACGCTGAAGCGTAAGTTACCAAGCACTATTCAATTCATCAAATTTTGCTAAATCGAGCATTTACCTTTGAAAGTTAAAAACAAGGATTAAAGTTTCTCAAAAGGAAACTACTACAAATGACATGCTAGAAGGTATCGAGTAGCCATCAAAGTTATAACGGTCCCGCTAGAGCGACATTAAGTTTGACTTTTTTTACAGTGTGAAGTGGCACACTTTTTTACATTTGATTTCAGCGACACTTAAAATAATTCATGGCATAAATATTGACACCTCATACGATGTCAAACTTAATATATACATGGAATGTACAAATAACATTTTTCAAGTTATAAATTAATATGGAGATATACTAATTTACTTTGGACAAACCTTATCATCAAATTATATTTTAGGAAGTTAAATCCCTCTAACAAACACAAACTCAATCTCATCTTGACCAATTCAATTCAATTTTTCCTTTTTCTTTTTTACTTAGACTTCAATCGAGACTACTTGAGTAATTCAAATCTAATAGGTCAAGTTATTTAATTAAGATTGAGACTAATAAAGTTTGTTTATACAATTTCATACAAAACTATGTAATGATCAAAAGTCATTTTCTTTTCGATAGTACTCGCCATCTAGATTTTCCAAATTAATGTATAGCAAGTAGCTCAAGTAGGGATGACAAAACACCTCACCCCTTGTCCCATTACGCACAGTCCTGACCCTCCTAGGATTTTGGGAGAGAGACGGGAATCATGGTCTTTACCCTATTTAGAATTTTATTTAATATTTTTAAAATTTAAATCTCATTTCAAAAACAAAAATAAGTAAATAGAAAAATATAACAAAAATAAGGATGGATATTTTGGCCCCGGTTTGTCTATCATCAAAATAGAAAAATGAAGTTTGGAATAGTCAATTTTTGAAAAATGTGTGGTTAAAAATAGGAAATTTTTATGAATTTATGTACAAAAATATGTGATCGAAAATGAGTTAAAAATAATAATTTTAAAATAAAAATCGACAAACGGGGGCGTAATACCAATTTGTCTCATCTCTTGAAAATCCATCGTAAGACCGGAGACGGGCCGGCTCCTTTTTGTTGCTATCGTAGCCCAAGCCCAAGCCCAAGCCCATGAAGAATCACGGACCAGGATTTGGCGCGGACTATTATTTTTCATTTATTTTGAATAAAAAATTTACTCCGTTGACTCATTTCCTGTACAGTTTAATTAATATGAACAGGAATCTCTGTGATGGCGCAATTTAAGGGACGACAATGAAAGTGGCTGTGCATTCATTCATTGCTTTTGTTATCTTCTCCATTTCCTCCTATCCCAACTCTCCCTCAGGTCCCATTTAATTTGTTTATTTCTCTACTAAAAAACTTATCCAACTCTACTAAATTGTATATTTGTATATATTTATACTCATTGATCTCGTTGTGTTGCAGGGATTTTTCAGAGGTGGGTTTTTAATTTATAATCGATTTTGAGATATATAGACTATAGTGATTCTGTTGTGGAGTGAAACTGTGAAGATGCTTACATGCATAGCGCGTTCGAAACAACCCAGTGATGAATCTTTTGATGGCACTCCTAATAAACAAGCCATCAAAACCATAACTTCTCAGGTAATAATTTCTGTAGATTTCAATTGAGGGTTTGATAGATTTTTATTTTTTTAATTGCATTTCTGGAGCTGAATTTTGAATGTGTTGTGTTGAATAGATCAAGGATATGGCATTGAAGGCTTCGGGTGCATACCGCCACTGCACGCCGTCGTGCACGAGTCAGCCAACTCAGGCACAGCAACTGAGGAACCGAAGCATAGGGGGCGAGTCGGACTCGGCCGCGTCAGATAGATTCCCGTGGTCCTACCGGCGGACGGGGAGTTCAAACTCGAGCTCAACTGCTGGGAGGAGGGAGCTGGAAGCAAGGCTGAAGGGAATTTCGAGCGGCGAAGGTACGCCGGCGTCGGCAAGTGGCCGGCGAGTTGACCCGATTGTGTTCGTTGAAGAGGACGAGCCAAAAGAGTGGGTGGCTCAGGTGGAGCCCGGTGTGTTAATTACCTTTGTGTCCTTGCCACGTGGAGGAAATGATCTTAAGCGCATTCGGTTCAGGTACTGTTCGGTAATTTTGCACATTATCTTCTTCATTGATTTGAAACATTAAATTCTAGCATTAAAATCATTTAGGTAAATTAAATAAAATCCAATGCTCAAATATTATGAGTTTTATTTTCTTTTTAAGAAATTAATACTTATGTCCCATAGAAATAAAGTTTGTTTCTATTTTTACATAGATTAAAAAAATATAATTAATATAATTGAAAATATAAAATTTCTTATATTTTTCTTAATACATTCCTATATTAAATAATTATTTAAGTATGGGTAATTTAGCTCCTGTTTGAGCCCCATTACATTAAATTCTATTACATTTTTTTTTTCTTCTATTTTCAATTACACAATCTTTCATAAAATAATATTACACGTAAATCGAAAACTTTTTATTCTTTTTCAACTACTCATTTTTCAAAAAAACACTATTCCCCTCATTAAATTTTCTACGTAATGGGGATCAAACAGGGGCTTATATTCATTGATAGTAAGACACATTGAAGAGGAATATATTAGAAAACAAAAAAATCAACTATACTATCAATAAGAAAAATGATCTATAATTTAGGAAAAAGAAAATAAATTTATTTTTATTGGAGGGAGGCTGTAGTAATATTTAAATTGCGAGCAGAGGTTATAATTTGACACAATTAATTATGTGGGTCCACCATGACAAAAAGGATGGCCCTATGAAGGTTTAACTACCCTACACTAAAGTTTGCTGTTTGCATGCTTAAATTATGTTATAGTGATGGTCCCGTTCGGTAGAAATTTTTCACTCAAAAAATTAATTTTTGATTATTATTTTATTATTTCAAACGTTATTTTTGATTTTTTCACTTACGGGTGAGATTCATTTTTCTCTCTATTGGTCAAAAAACTAATTCTCACAATCACTACCGAACTGATCCACGATATGTTATCCACACATTTTTTCCTTATTGCTTCCATTATTGTTTTTAAAAATTCATACCCTTCACTAGGTTTCTAATCGGTTTTTTATCAATAGAAATTATAGTAATATTTTTCAGAGAGCTTTCTTTTGTTAGAACTTTTAATCATATATATCGTGTTTATTATTGTAAAGTAGATATTTTATAGAAAATTAACAATTTAAAATCTTATACGATATTGTAGGGCAAAGCTAGGGTAGCTCCAGTAGTTTTAGCCAACCCCCAAATGTAGGGAACAAATTCAAGTCAAACATAAATTATATAAATTTTATTTTTAGATGTTAGTCCACTTCAACCTAATTTTCTAGTTCTACCTAGATTGAGTAATTCTTAGAAACTATTGCCTACAATAATCTTCAAGAGAAACTTAGGGGGTGTTCTCTTTGTGTTTCAGTTTTGTGTTTTGAGTTTTGAATTCATTTTGAGTTTTGTATTTTGAGTTTTTGTTTTGAAATTCTTAAAAATGCGTTCTTTTTGTTAGTTTCTCAAAACAAAAAAAAATAATTTTTTTTTTTAAAATTTTGAGAATCACCACAACACCACCTCAAAACACCAAAAAAAAAAAAAAAAAAATTAATTTTTATTTTTTTTTTTAAATTTTTAAAATCACCTAAAATTTATTCCCTGTTCACGGTGGGCAAAAATTATGTTACCCACCTACCCACATCGGCAGGTCAAACAAATATTTTTTTTTTTTTTCCCCCCCCCCCAAAAAAAAAAAAAAAAAAAAAAAAAAAAAGTGTTTCCCGCGTTTTCAATTTTTTCAAGTTTTACACTGAAAACGCCCAAAACGACAAAAAAGTCGTTTTGTGTTTTCTTCACAAATTTTTTTCGTTTTCGAAAACGTTTTCGAAAATTCGTTTTCGAAAACGGGAAAGAGAACACGTTTTCACCGTTTTGAAAAATCGAAAACAGAAAACGACCCGAAAACGGTAAAGAGAACAGGGCCTTAAAGATTGCAATTTTTTTTTTCAATGAATAACATCGAGTGGATTATGCATCTTTTCATGATAATTTATGAAATTTGAGAATAAGCTATTCAGCAAAAATAATTTTTTTTTGATAATTTCTTGTCTTTGTGGATATGTGGGGTGGGGTGGTCTGTGTTGTTAGAGCATCTCCAATGGGACGCAAATTGCACCGAAAATTGTGTCATATCATTCCAAAATGGTTGCATGACAAAGAAAAATGTGAAGGGAAGGTGTTCTAAACATTTTTCACTTGACATTTTAATAATTTATCTTCAATCTTTTTCCTACATCATCTCCCTTGTACGTGTGGCCCATAATTAGTGCAAATTGGAAATACTTTTCTCTCTATTTTCATTTGCTCGCCACAAATACAATAGTTCACATTGTTACATTGGAAATGTTCTTAATGGTGTACAACAATTGAATTGATTAATGTTTGCATAATCGGTGAAAAAGGTGACTTTGCAATCATTACATGAAGAAAGTGGTGTTTTTTAAGAAGAGTAAATTTTCCAGTTTTAATTTAGTTGGGAGTAATAAATTATTAAACTTGTTCAAATTGGATAAATCAAGAATTTTTTTGACAGTAATCATAGCCAACATGATATAAAGGGCATGAGGAGAAAAATAGGACTCCAAAAGTCAAAAATAATAAAGACTTTAGTGGGTCTGTGTTCGATTTTGTTGGGCAGCTTTTACTGATTGTTATTATCTTGTCGGAGATTCCTAGTCCTTTCATTTTCAGTCTTTATTACTAGCTAGTTGTTGTCTGATTTGTCCATTTGTGAACTGTTTCTTGTCTATCTGTTTGTATAGACATAAAACAAAAACAAATGAAACATCCTTTTATCACACTGAAACTTGAGTAGTGACAAAATATGCATCCGGGTTTGGCTTCTAAACAAGAAACATAGCTATGGAGCTTTCATTTCACTTTTTTCTATTTGGAAAATTTGAGCTAGGCTCCTCAAATTTTGAATGTGTACGGTTTTAGATTCTTAACTGTTTTCAACCTATTTAAATATGTGAATCCGCATTGCTACTTTACAAAAATTTTCAATCTGTGCGTTAAAATTGCATGTTACTTTCACGTGACATAAAGTCGGGTGTTATGTGGTTTGATGGTTTTGTCATCCAACTTTAAGTCATGTGAAAGTTGCTTGTGATTTTAATGTTCACATTGAAGGTTTTCATCATGTGGAGATCAAATTCACAAATTTAAATAGGTTGAGATCCAAAATCACACTAATTGAAAGGTATTGGAAGTCTAGCCATATTTTTCCCTTTCCATTTCATCCCTAGTTGGGTTTCTCGATTTAAAAATGAAGAATGACTTCATATAAATGGCCGGATGGGTTCCTAAGGTCTATGATTGGGTTTGTCTAGAATGAGTGGTAATTTTATGGTATCATAGTCCATTTATAAAAAAATGGTATATGTTTCAAATCGATTTGTGCGTGTTTAAAAATATAAATTTCCCCATTTTCATGAGCTTAAACTTTTAACTTCCCATCTACCTCTAAGAAAGAAAAGCTGCACATTATATAAGAATGCAAATTGCGATGGACTTATCCTTTTGTTCCTGCTTTATGATCAGAAACACTTGCATTTCTATATGGCTACCACCTATTAGTATAGTTTAAGGTTTAATATCCTTGATAGCATGACGCTCCTTTGAATGGACTGTGACTCAGTATGTATTCATTTGAAAAGTTTTCAATAATTTTCTTGGTTGGTTGCTAGCTTGTCATAACTCATTATTTTTTGGGAGAATTCTCTTGCCGTCTAAGAAAAGTCAAATGTAATCCAATTTTTTACGTGTAAAGAAGGCCAGTCTTTGATTTTGAGTATCCAGAATATGTAAAGAAATCTTGTGTAGGGCCAATTAATTAGTGGTTGTCGAATAAATGATAATTTAACATGATGGTTGGATTACTTGGGGTAATGGATTTATGCTTTGACCACCAAACCCTTTTTTAATTATTATTATTATTATTATTATTTTTAACTTGTAGCCTCAAGAATACAAGACCTGTAGGTACTCATTTGAGGGATAAAATTTCTCATCGAATAAAGATGAAAACATAGATCAATTCATAAGAATGTGGGAACTCATGTATTGTTTAAGTCTTCAAGTGTATATGATCGAATTTAAATGTTTAATTTTGTTTTGGATGTTGAAAATTCTATACAAAAAAGTTCGAGATGTGGACCCACGTCAAATAATTGAACTATTCCTGGATTACTAATTTTTTTTTTATTATTATTTTTTTATTTTTTTGGAATTAGAAATTGTTAGGATTGTTTAATTAAGAGTTGTGAGCTTAGAAAATCGTGTTTCTTTCTAATATGTGTTCGAAACTTTTCTTTATAATTTAAACTTGTAGATATTGTTTGAGAAACAAGCAATTTAGATATCAAAAACTTTTAATCTTTGTGTCACTTTTGCTTAGTTTCTTAGAGCATTTTCAAGAGATTTTCTATTTTTAACGTGCATATTCTATCATTTTGTAAGCATTTATATATTTAGAGAGTTAAAATTTTAAAGTATTTCAACGAACTTTTTATATTTAATAATTAATTTTACTACCCCAAAAATATTTATTATTTTTCTTCATTTTTTATTTTAACTATTTTTCTCTAGATTATTTTATTATTTTTTTGCATTGAAAATTGAAACACTTTTAATGCATTTCATTGTAACGTCACATCCACTTTCTTAATTAAAATGTTAATTTAAATAGTTTCTTGAAATATGATTTTAAGGATTGATTATTTAAAATAGAAAGCATTTTATGTTTAAAGAATTTCTTAAAAATACTCTTACGATTACTTCCTTTGTGCTTTTTTCAATCAATTTTTAGATAATTGAAAAAAATTAATTAGTTTTATGATTGATGTTGATCTTATTTCGTCAGCCGAGATATATTCAACAAATGGCAAGCTCAAAGGTGGTGGGCTGAGAATTGCGAGAAAGTGACAGAACTTTACAATGTCCAAAGACTAAATCGCCAAGCTTTCGCTCTCCCAACAACTCCAAGATCCGAAGATGATAACAGTTCAAAGATTGAATCTGCTGAAGCCAGTCCAGTAACACCACCACTGGGCAGAGAAAGACTCCCACATACTTTACACCGACCAACTGGAATGGCGTTCTCATCTTCAGATTCACTCGATCAGCAGTCAATGCATTCTCGCTATAACTATGATTCTTTTGGCGTTGCCTCAACTCCAAAACTCTCGAGCATTAGTGGTGCTAAAACAGAAACATCCTCAATGGATGCCTCCATGAGGACTAGTTCCTCTAAGGATGTTGATCGCTCTGGAGAGATATCGATAAGCAATGCCAGTGATCTTGAAACTGAATGGGTTGAACAGGACGAGCCCGGGGTCTATATTACCATCAAGGCATTGCCAGATGGTAGAAGAGAACTCAGACGCGTCAGATTCAGGTTAGTTTATACTATGTTGAGCCTAATCATACTACATGCTTATTAATATTTCTGTGATATATAAAGGATTTTTAGCGTTTGTGTTCTAAGAGACAGTTCATATTGAAAACCTGAAGCAATTAATGCATAGAGCTATCATGTTGAGAGTTGCCCTCGTAAATAAGGTTCAAGACTCGATCAATTACATTATTCTTACTTGATTTTAAATTGAAAATGTAGTCGAGAGAAATTTGGGGAGATGCATGCTAGACTATGGTGGGAAGAGAATCGAGCCCGGATACATAAACAATACTTGTGATTGGGTCAAACACCATATCGGGACGTGCTACAAGTTGCTGATGGGAGTGATGATGCCTAATAGACACTGATTATGTAGTAGCCTGTAAGTAAGTGATGCGTCTGATACACGAGGAGTCTCGCGCTTTGCGAGTTCTCAAAACAACCTTGTGGATTGTGGGGATGTTTTCTTTTTCTTTTTCAATTCATTTTATGAAATTGTGGTATATTAAGAGCTTTTCATAACATATATGGAGTCAACTTGCACACAGTTTGAAGCTCAGTAAACACTGAAGTTGAATATGGAAATACTAAAATGTCCATTTTTGTTTATTCTTTCAAGTTTCAACTTGTTGAAGATATATTTGTTTTGCAATGAATGATACCCAACGTAAATTTTCCTTCCATTGAAGTTTATCCTTTTTTCGCCTTAAAAGTAGTATTCACTAGAACAGTATTATTCATTGAAGTTTCTCACTTCGTACGGTTGTCAAAATGTGTCGATCAGCATGGTTTTTGAAGATTAATTTTAGATATAAACTAATATGATAGCAAATATGTCAACTAAACAAATAGGCACAAATAAGAAAGCAAGTGAAGACTAAATTGATAAATTCAAATAATAAGCACAAGTATAAAAGCTATTAGTAAAAAGGGAAAGAGAATGGAAATCTAACATGAAAACTTGATTGACTTATGATGCAATCCAACCATTAACAACACTTTCTGTTACCAATCAATAATCTATGTCGTCCGTTGCTAAGCTCTTTAGCACGAGTAAGGCTTTTTCACTATGTTGATTGACTTATAATGCAATCCAACCCATTACAACGCTTTCGGTGACTTATAAACAAGGAGTACGGATCCTTTACAAAGTCGAGCTTTACGGGACATCAACACGACCCACGCTGTTAACCTTTATGGGATCTCAATATACCTAGGCGGTAACTTACAACAAGGAACATCGATCTTTACACAATGTTGAGTTTTTTGAGACCTTAAGACGACCCACACTTTATCAAAGTGATTTTACAATTAAATTTTCTCTTGATAAATAATATAAAACAAATTAAGTATTAAAAAAGGCTAACACTTCAATGAATAGTAACAAATGATAGGTCAAGTGTTAGATGAAAAACTTTGATGAAAATGACAATTAAAAATTAGATTCAACTAATCAAAGTGTTTCAAGGAGAAGATGAAGAAGAATTAAATGCAATGTAAATTCAAATAATCATTTCAAGAAATATCTCTCTTTTAATGAATGATTATAATAAATCAAATACTAAGAAAGAAATGAGAAACTTTGATGAATATAATTTTTTTACAAGTTTGATTCAATCAATCAAAATTTTTCAATGAGAAGATTAAGATGAAGTAAATACTTTGTAAGTTCAAAAAGATATTCTCAAGAAATATCTCTTTTTAATGAATGAGTTTAATAAATTAAGCACTTAGAGAGAATTAGGAAACTTTGATGAAATTGATAAATT